AGTGCCTCGATCCATGCCGCAGGGTCTTGAACTGGCTCCTGGTAGAAGATCTCGTGGGCAGTGAGGAAGCGGTGTGGCCACCGTCTGCGAGCTTCAACTCTTGCGGCTCTGAGGATTGCTTGGCACAGCTTTGTCGGATACTGAGCACTCCGACGGACCTCTTTTCCTTGCAGGGGTACGCAGAACAGCAGCTCGTCAGGTGTCATCTTGCGAGAGACTGCGTCTGCGATCTCCTTGGAGTTGGTGAGCCATTGGTATGTCTTCTTGATTGGATCACCATTGGAGTTGGTGCCTCCATATGCCCCAACGTGACCGTGGACCATGTAGACGTCGTCCCGCATGGAGAGTTCTCGTACTTCAGGTAGGTCCCAGATTCTTGAAGCTCTGGGATTCTCAAACAGGAAGTAGTTGCCGTCGGCAATCTGTTTGAGGCAGGACTCAACGCCAAGTCGAACGAGCGGTCGGTCGTCTCGTCGAAGTTGATCTATAGTGTCTCTTCACGGCCGCGACTGGTGTAGTTGAGGTTCTCATTCATGATGTTACAATGAGTGCACTTGAACTTGTCTTGGGCTTCTCGCCATGTCCTTTTGGTCTCCGGCTTCTTGAGGTCCAGGCCGTAGAGGATGTCAAAAGGTTGGCAGGCTCTCAAACCATATCGGTGTGCCAGCTGGGTGATTTCAGCCTCGCCCGCAAACAATTCCATGATGTCAAACTTTGGGATGTCCTTGGCTGGTGGAAGGTCGGCGTAGATCTGGCGCTCCACGGTGAGGACCTGAGCTGAGGTGTTCAAGCGTTTCATCCGTCCCACTCGAATTCTTGAGCCGTCTCTGCTTCCGAGTCCAGCTGGTAGTGCGCTGCCCTGCGTAGTTGTCGTGACTCGGCTGCGAGGAGGCTCCAGGCATCGATCTCGTCCTCCTGAGGGTCGGACTCCTCCAGGTTCAGAGCTGCCGTTTGCCGAGATGCGTGACTGGGCTTGATACGCTGCTGCCTCTTGGGTGTAGCGGCTGCCAAAACTGCTGTCTCCGGCATCGGAGGGGAGGTCGAAGGCAAAGGACCTTGGTGATAGTCCAGGAGCGCCTGGCGTCGGTTGATCTCCCAAGATCCATCCACAACAGTGCTGGAGGAAGGCAGTGGCAACGGTGAGGAACCCGATGCTGCGACAAAGTACTCCCAACCTTGGCGATCGGGATTCCACTTCCATTTCTTCTTGCACTCCATGCACTGGGCGTAGGAGCCGTGGCGGTTTCCGGACCGCTTGATGCGGCGATGATCGCAAGCTAGTCCTGCCGGCGGTGCTGTCGCAAGAACTGCCGGGGCCGCCTTGGCCTTTGCCTTTCTCTTTGGACACGCCGTTGAGGGAGCCGATGAGATAGCCAGGGGCGTCAGCAGGAATCTCTGGGCACGGCGTGCCCACTCCATGGACCGCTTGACCAGGTGGCGCCAGCTCCGAAGCCATTGCGGAGGAGAAGGACGGTCCACCTGCATGGGCTGTGACCAGTGCGTCACACACGTCGTCGTCAAGGGCTTGATCTGGAAGAAGCGGTGCATACTCAGTGGTCATGCCCTTGACTTGAAGCTCTTTGGAAAATGAATGCCACAAATGAACATGCTCAGAAACTTTGAACTGCATCACATCGATTGCAATGTGGCCATTGATCATGAGGAGTGGTGCTGTTGCATTCAACTTTCCAAAAAACAACTTGCCGACCGGCCAAATCGATCACGGCGCCGACGTCGGTCATCCATGGTTGAGAGGCTAAACACGGGATGCTAGCTGAAAGGATGCAGGGTGCCAAAACACACACCAAAACCTGCTGGAAAACAGTAGATGTACTCTGACTTGACCGTGGGGCCCTTGCCAAACTCAAACAACTCTTGTAGAGGAAGGCGTACAGGTGCAAGTCCCCATGCTTTCAACTTGGTGGTGTGGGTATCGGCCCAGAGCTGTCCCGCACACATTCTTTGGTACGCAGTGTCCAAAATGACATAGCCGGCTGCTCGGGTAGCGTCGGCCAAATAAACTTCATGGCGCTCATGGCCTGGAGTGGAAGCCACAAAAACCTGGTGCGAGGCATGGCTTGGCTCTGCATCATCAGCTGCTTCCTCATCGTCGGTGAGGTAGTGGTGACTCATGAAGTGCACGCTCTTGGCAAAGGGTCGGTTCTTGCCACCTTTGCCGCCATCAGAAGATTGGCTTTTGCTGGAGCCTTTGGTCGATGAAGCCGTACAGGCAGGATCGCCTTTCCAGTGTCCAACCTGTCCGCAGGCAGCGCAATGAGATGTCCTCTTGCGGTCTTCGATCGACTTCTTGGCAGCTGGTGGGTTGCCAAACTTTCTGGCCTGAATGACAGAGGCCAGCTTGCGTGCCGTCACGGTCATGATCTCGTTGATCTGGGCGCCCAAATCATCATCATCTGCTTGCTCATCATCGTCCTGCTCGGCGGGATCGCCGGTTGCATCATCATCCTCGTTGACCTCAGGCTCAAAGTCCAGAGTGCCATCGAGGGGGTCATCCTCCTGGTCGTTGTCATTCTCAGGAGCTTGGTCATTCTCCGTGATGTAGGTTCGCCGGACAGGTTGATGAACTTGTCGAGCATGGTCCTTCCCTTTGCCCTTACCTTCACCTTTGGGTCTTCCATGGAAAGGTCGTCGATCAGGAAGGTTGGACAAAGGTGGAGGGACCGGTCGATGGTCCGGCCACTGGAACATCATCACGTCCTTCACGGTGTCGAAGTCTAGCGTTTGCATCGCGCCGATGAGGACTTGTCGTTGATGTTCATGGCTCAGGCGAGCTTGCTCCAGCAAGCGGGCTCCACGAGCTTCTGAGTCGTACATCTGCTCCACGTTGATGCCCAGGGCGGACAATGTACGTTCCACCCTCCGGTATCGGTTGATGAATGGCCTCATGGCTTCTGTGGGTGCTCGGCTGATGTGTTCGTAGTCAGCCAACACCTTTCTCTTCACGTGGACCGAGCGGGTCTCGACAGCCTTGCGGACGATCTCGAGGATATAGTCCACGCCCTCGTTGGAGAACAGCTTGTCCACGGGGGCGTCTTCAAGTTCTTCTTCAAGTTCCCCTTTCAATGACTGAAAGAGGAGGATTCCAGTCTCGCGGACAGGGACGTAGTTCTGGACTTGCAGCATCCAGATGCGAACGCGCTTCTCCCATTTCTGGTAGGCGCGCAGGTCACCCTTCTCATAGTGCCATTGAGGCGCCGGAGGAACGGCGCCGCCCCTGAACTTGACCCCAGGCTGGGGCCCCTTCAAGGTGTTCCATGTAGTCTTACTCGAGGATGAGGTGTCGTTCTTCTTCTTGATGTCCTCGAGGGTGATCACTTCGTTCGGTTCCGGCTCACTCGATCTTCGAGAACCACCCGTGCATGAAGTCGAGGTTGAGGTCGTTGATGCTGGTTCACCTCAGAAGGAGTGACAGTTGGGTCCCAAGTGAAGGCCTCGCTCTCGGCTTGCTCAGAACCGAGGGGCCCTTCGCCGTCAGGCGGTAGAGGATCAGGTGCTCCATGGAGTCCTGGAGGACGCCGTGGGCGTTCTGCATGATGATGACCTGGTGGTCGGTGGGGTTCAGGATCAGCACCACGACACCCGCGGAGGCCCACGACCGCCACGACAGCCACATTGGTAGCTACCCGTGGGCATAGTCCCCATTGGTGGAGTCCTGAAGGGAGTCGTCATAGATCGGGTGTCGTATTGGGCTCGTTGATAGCTTTGCTGGGCGGTCGAAGGCCGGGGAACATGCGTCCAGCCTGCGTGACCATCAGCGCCGGTGCTGGCGCGGTAGTCCGCTTGGCCGCACTCGGTGCAGTGCCATTGCCCTTTGTCGAGGCGGAAGCCGTCATGACCACAGTTCCGGCATACCCAGTACACGGAGATGTCGGTTGGGGTGTCCGTGAACTCATAGCTCTGCGATGAGGTGTCCATCCGGTAGGTCTGAGGTGGATCATCAGCAGTCGTGCCTTGTCGGTCAGCGGGCTCATCGTCCTCAGGCAGCGGCCTCTTCTGCAAGCGCGGTTGCGACTCCAGGAGGGAGGAATCAGTCATCTCCCCAAGGTCATGCGGTCGTCCAGCTGCTCGTGGAAAGGCCATGGGATCGGCAGGCGAAAGGTCGGGCTAACAAGCCCGCGGTAGCCCACTTTGGGGCTCCGCTACCAACTCACTGCAATGCTTGCGTGTGCACTGCAGGGCGGACTTTTGCTAAAAAGGGCTTGAGCTCGAGGTGCACCTTTGGTGCGCGGCGAAACATGTGCTTCGATGACCTGATGGTTTCACGAAGAGCTTGGTGCAACTGAATGCTGGATTTTGTCATCTACTACCAATTTTAGGTTCCACACGCAATCAAATGCAAAGAGTCATAAGCGTTGGCAGCCAAGGAATCTCGTCCAGAAGAAAATCAAGAGAATGGCTCCAACATATGATGATGCAAAGTGTCAACTGTGTCCCGGCAAGATTGCACAGAATGGACCACGTGTAGATCCTTCTGCAAGACGGTGCACGGAAACACTCTTGCACATGGTATAGGGGCCCACTGCACTCAGTTCAGGAGGGTAGGCCCGGGGTCCACGTGCAAGCATTCGTGAAAAACAATGACAGCCAAAGAATCTCTCAAGAAGTTGTTTGTTTCCTCCACATAAACTTGTGTGAAGTGCATCACGCGGTTGCTTTCCTTCATCCTACGGATTTGGTTCTGGAACTGCTGACAAAGACCATACTATTGTCTGTTTGAAAGTTCTGCGGGAAGCAAAGGGCTCTTGAACTTGAGCTTTGCTTTTGGGGGGGATGCTGGTTTTATAGTATGTCGTGCGAGACTCATGCGTTGAGACTTGCATCCGAGCTGTGATTGCAAAAATATGCTGAAATGGTCAAATCGAATAACCGGAAATGAAAGAATAAAAATACCTTAAAATCAAGGTGAGGGACCCTCTCTAAAACGGCCCATTTGAGAAGGCCCTTCTCTCTGTTTTCTCATTTCAAGATTTTGACTTCGCCTCCGTCCACAGCTCCCACGGCTCCCGCAAATCTTCCTGGCAAACATGTCTTGCAAAGCAAATGTTGGAACCCAAGTGCAAAGAAGAGTGCAGACCCACATGTGTGTGTGTGTGTGTGTTGTCGACATTGCATGTCCAAAGAAAACCCGGAGCACAGCAAAGGCCCATTTTCTCCGACAATGAGCTTTTCGAGGCCGAACTACATGGGCTTCACGCTCCTCTCATTTCAAAGAGCTCAAATGTGACTGAAGCCCGGACTAGCGCTAGCTGATCGAGAATGGGGACTTAGGCCAGAGGCCACACTTCAGCTCTTGAGAACCTTGAGGCTCTCATCTTCATCATCTTCACACAAAGATCCTCTTTTGCTCCCAGAGCCTTCAGACGACAGTGCTCAGCTAATTTGGACCACAGTCGAAAGCTGAGTGCCGAGCTTTTCCCAGAACTTGCAGTCAGAGGCATGAAGCCCCAACTGCGGAGAAATTCCAACATCGTCAGTTGTGTCGGACAGGACCTGCGGTCCCACAAGTGTCCGTCCAAACCACGGTCTGTCCCGCCAAACAGCCTTTTTATTGCCTATTTCTTTGCAAAAAACGAACTTGGAAAATACAGAATGCAACTTTGACATGACATTACTATCCAGGTCCAGGTGCCAACGTGGGCGCCGTCGCTGCTGGGCCAAGGTAACGTGGCCAAGACATCGGTTGTCCAGAGGCTGCAAACGATGCCCATCGTGCACCTTCAGTGACAGGTCTTGTATCAAAGCACAAGTAGCATAAGTTCACTGTGCTCCAAAGAAGGCAACAGCTCAATTGCTGCATTGTTCAAATCAACAAACAGTCTACAACTGTCGGCAACTCTCATCAAGAGCCCTGGGCGACTCATGCGAAACCAAAGAAGAACGCCAAGGAACGCATCTCCTCGCTCAAGGCGCGCTCACTGGCGGTGAATGTGCAAAGAGTCCTTCCAAACAAATCCAGGCAAGGCTTGTAATTACAGGACGTCCTTCTTCAATGCGTCGATCTGCAGCTACACGGCTATGTGGGGCCTGTTGTTGGGAGGTCCGACTCCATCAGGCCCAGCCTTCCAAAGAGTTGCGTTGCCCAACAATCTTGCTCCAAAAGTGAATCCCCTGCCTCATTCCCGAACACAAACTTTACCTCAGCAGCACAGAGCTCTAAACCCTTCTTTTTGCCGCTGTTCTCTTGCCAAGGGTCGTCATCCCCATGAATTGCAAAAAGTTTCCTGGGCCATGCCAACACAGCAAGTATCCGACAAACATTCATTGAACCGGCTATTGACGAATGTTTGCATCGCCACAAGGATGTCCCAGCCACAACACAAGAAGTTGCCTTGAAAAGCCTGTCAAGTGGTTTCAATCTCAAGACTATGCAGGCCTTCTGAAGTGGCAAGGCCACCAGACTCTTTAAACTGGTCCAGGAAAAAAAAACATTTGCTAAGCTTGCGAAGAAGAAACAACCCATGAGCCACAAAGGTTCCCGCAACAAAGCCCCCATCTGAACCATTTGAATGTAAGAAGTGTTGGTTGAATATTGCGGTGTGCCTTGTGCATCACACATCTGAGACTGTGATCTGCGCATTGCCTTGCGATCTGAGGCTCGTGTAAGCTCCGCGGCGAGGCGGTGCTACGTCGAGCTCGGGGCCATTGGAGCATCCAAAGCCATCCGGGCGAGCTGAGGGAATGAAATGCGCAAACTCGAAGGCCCAGCTTGGGACATCCATGGCCTGAACGAAGAATCAAAGAAATGTGACCGGCGTGAAACGTGCTGAGAAGCATATATAACAAAAAAATGTCACCCGCCTGTGCATACCGGAGGAGCCTTGGATTTCACACAACTGGTCAGGTCGATCACTGGGTTTCACAACTTACTTGGATGGTCGACAGACCTAGATTTTGCAGAGCTTAGTGGACCTCAGTTTGGACCTGCGCCAGCGACTTGCGAAGAAGTGATCCAAAACCTGTCCCTGATACGTCCCCAACACTTCTGGAATGGGAAAGGAAGGTGCACGCGATGTGGCCTTAAAATCAGCAAACACTGGCCTAAGCTTGAGGTTCTCGACCTTGTTGTTGAAGGGTGCTTCGTTGGTCAGGTCCTAGCCAATTTTATGTTGTGGTCCATCAGTCTCATGACTCAGTTTCGAGACCCACTGGGGTTCAGAGCTGAACTTGCAAGAAGCAAGGACCAACCAAAGCAAAACAGACTGGCACCAACCCTTCTAGCCGTCCTGGGGTCAAAAAAACAATGTGTTAGCAGAATGCTGCCCAGAAGCTGATAGCTAGGACAAATGACCATACTGTCAGCATCTGCCTGAAGGAAAGCCTTTTGTGGACTACCGTCAAATCGAGACAGCGGGTACTGCTGCAGCACCTCACCACAGAGAGCTTCTGGCAAATAGGAAAAACTTTAGTTTTTGCTGCACATGGGCCTGCCTCTTGAGCTCGCTACCCGTTAAAAACTGAGGGTGACCACTTCACTGTTGCCTTGTACACTGAGTCGACCGCCGGAGGGGTAAACCGTAACAAAAGAACAAAACTCACCAAGATTCGGTTCAATGTTCAAAATGAGACCTGCAAGAATCAGGCCCATCAACCATGGCCAAAGGAGCCAACAAGTCAGATGAATGCCGTCTACGAAGCCGGAAACTCTGGAAATCCCTCACTACAAAATGGGATGGAGGCATCATCTAATGGCTGGACAAACTAGATATATACCCATCCATGGTCCCTGTTCATTGTTGAAAATCGTTCGAGGCTGCTGCGTTCCTCGCATCAGAAACTTGAGAGAGGAGGGGGTGAACGAAAGGTAGCAGGCAATCACAAGTAACCCTGGTAGAAGTCCATGACGGCGTGACCCGGCGCAGGGGGGATTTGATCCAGGGAGGGGGGGGGCCCCCCCCCCCGACGAACAGAATCAACTCTTACAGGACCAAACTCAATGCACAATCCCAACTCCTGATTGTAATACCTTTTTGCTAAAGCAAGGAGAACTCAGGTAGCTCAAGCTACCTTTCGTGAGTAAAGGCACGGCATCTGCATTGGTGCCCCAAACCTTTCGGATGGCCTTCTCGTAGTCATTGGCTCCTGTCCTTGTTTCACTTTGGCATGACTATGAAGATGACTGCAAAAACATGTGAACCTTTCAGGCCACCCTACCTGCACTTGACACTTTGGCATGCGTGTGTGCTGTTGACATTTTCGTGTCCAAGCGGAGCTTTTCAAGCCAAGCAACTGATTCTCATCGGGTGGCACATACCCCATCGTTGGCGCGACACCGTAGAATGCTGCCGTTCCATCTTTGGAATTGAAGCCTTTAACAGTCATGCTGCTTGCAATGCTTCATTTTGACTTGTCAAACAGGGTCACGGCGGGCGTTAGCGACTGTGGGGGGCTTTGAGGTTTGTCTCTTTATAAGCCGGTTGGTCACGAGACCATACGTTTAACGTTCTTGCAGGGACTCTTTGAAATGGAAAGGCATGAAACACTGTACGTTATACCTGTAGTGTTGATTTTTTCCCGAGAGCGTCTACGAAGGGTTTTTTGTAAAAAACATCTGTAGAACTACATCTTGCACATCTACATTTCCACATCTTCACACCTGCATATCTACATCTCTGCTCATCTTCACATCTGCACATCTACATCTCTGCTCATCTTCACATCTTCACATCTGCACATCTTCACATCTGTACATCTACATCTTCACACCTTCACATCTGCATATCTACATCTTCACATCTTCCTATCTGCACATCTCACATCTGCGGATCCTCTCGCTCTTCTTTTCTTTCTCTCTTAAGGCGGGGACGGTGCCGCCGGAGCACCACGAAACGCAGCCCTCTGCGGAGATCGCGCGTGTCGAGGGCGCGAAATGCAGGTGAGATTACGTTTTTGCCCGGTCCAGCGCAACCCTCTGCGGAGATCGCGCGCGTCGAGGGAGCGAAATGCAGGTGAGATTGCATTTTGGATTTGGCACGCGCAACCCTCTGTGGAGATCGTGCGTGTCGAGGGCGCGAAACGCAGGTGAGATTGCGCGTTGTATGCTTGGAAGGTTACCAATGGCTTACATCCAGTTTTTGTGGCACAGAATGCGGGTAAAGTTTTCCAGTTTTTGAGAAGTCTCGTGGAAAATACTCGGCTGCGAAGGTTTCATTCTCACTTTTTGCGAATGTCTCGTGGAAAACGCTCGTTTTGGAAGCCTTCATTCGCCCTTTTCGCGAAAGTCTCATGGAAAACGCTCGTTTTGGAAGTCTACAATCTGACTTTTTGCGAATGTCTCGTGCAAAACGCTCGCTTTCCAAGTCTACATTCTCACTTTTTGCGAATGTCTCGTGGAAAACGCTCGTTTTGGGAGTCTACATTTTCCGGTTTTTGAGAAGTCTCGTGGAAAATACTCGGTTGCGAAGACTTTTTGCGAATGTCTCGTGGAAAACGCTTGTTTTGGGAGTCTACATTCTCACTTTTTGCGAATGTCTCGTGGGAAACGCTCGTTTTGGAAGCCTTCATTCTCACTTTTTGCGAATGTCTCGTGGAAAACGCTCGTTTTGGAAGCCTTCATTGTCAGAGTTTGCGAATGTCTCGTGGAAAACGCTCGTATTGAAAAACGTCCTTTCTGTGCTTCCACGGTGTACAGTTGCATGAGAACTTGCAATTGATGATTGTTCGTCGTATGTGAGAATGTTTATATCAAAGTAACGCAGTATTTGCCTTTGACGACCAAGGTTTTTCACTATTTTGTGGAAACTGTTCATACAACATTGTGATCATATACCTTCCTGACGGCACGTCAGCTTGAGAGAATGTTGGATGTCATTTATAAAAGCATTGCGGTGCCGAGTTTTTGTATGAATATATATATAATATATAGAGACATTTTCATATGAAATGGTCTTAGTGTTTGCCTTTCCGGGCATTTTGGTACGGGGCTTCTTTTGCAGGCTTACATGGTAATTTTCGTATGAGAATGAGATCATACGCGTTGTTCACGGCCTGTTGGTACCGAGCTCTTTTTTGCAAGCTCTGGCGACGATGTTTGGCTTGAGAGAGTGTTAGACGTTATTTACAAGAACCTCGTGGCACCCAGCTTCTATATCAATATATGGAGATTTTCACATAAAAATGCAATGTCTCTGCCTTTTGAAGCATTTTGGTACCAAGCTTTTTTGGAGACTTTCATGCAGATTTCCGTACAAGAATGAGATCATACGCGTTGTTCACGGCATGTTGGTACCGAGCTTTTTTTGGGTGACTTTTACACAATTCGCTGCGCAAACATAGGATTGCTTGTATCGTTGACGACATGGTGCTGTCGAACTTTTCGAAATCGCATATCCGGAGTCTTCGATGGTGATCTTGTCTTTACCGCTTGCGTCTACCTCTGTCGTGGGATCGTTTGTCATCGTTGATGCGATGCATGGCCGAGACATTTGTAGCCTCTTTGCTCTTAAACGCCCTTGCTTGTCTTCTGCTTCTCCAGGAACGTACTCAAAGCCATGGAGCAGGCATCTGAAGTCGGAACATTGCGACAGCCCTAGCGGTACAATGAGATCTTCTCGGTGGGCCGGCACCTTGCGGAAGGCGCCTGCATTGCCCGCCGAGATCCACAACAGCTTTTTGAAACCGAAGCCGGCAAGGCCGAATACAAGAAGACTGCAATATGTGAGAAGTGTTGGGATACCTTGACAGACAACGTGACTGATGACACCACTACGCACGGGCAGTGCGATGCTCTGACTGCTGCTGGCATCCAGCTTGCGAAACAGTTTATTGAACTACAGATGCGCAAAGATAGTCTCACGATGTCGAAGCAAGGAGGTGAGGCTGCCATTTTGCTTGCTTTGGGCGCAGTGGAATTACCCAAAGTGTATGTTTCTTGAGCCGCCCCGTTGAGACGCATTATGACCGCGTCCTTCGCAGTGGGAACTGTCCGTGCGTGGGGTGTGGGGTCGTGCCAACTGCTCTCCTTCGGAGAAAAGAAAACACATAGCGGTCAGCCACTTTTTGTGTGCAGTGTGATGCTTTCTATGTTGAAGAAACTTCACGTTCTCGTTGAAACAGGTTCGTTTATGCATCTTTTCTTTTTGCATGTCATTGCATTTGCGTGGCGTTTGTCGAATGGCTCCGAAGATACGCTCAACCCGGGCGATCGCTTGCGATTCTGCTGACACCACCCTTGCACTGTACGTGAAGCAATCTTTATATTTTCAGGTCCTTGTGAATAATTCTACACTCTTAACAGGGACTTCCCATCAGAATGGAGGGGGTGAAAGAGTCAAAGTGCAAATATATGGGCCATAAAACTATATCACTATACGCGTGCGACTACGCTTTGGTTACTTTATCTCAACAGATCAAGCAAAGCATATCACAAAGCCATGGGGCGAGCTGTATGTCCACCTGGCAGAGGCGAGCACTGCGTGAAAGATAAAAGCAGGGCCTGCCCAAATGAAGCTTGTATGCACTACGCGTCGTTTCAAAAGGGCCCGCACAAAAGCATGGACTTCGAGAAGGATGGAAAGCCTGCGATGACACAGTTGGATAATGCTGTGCAACAGACGGATGAAAATGGCCACAGGATTGTTGCGTTGAAGTACAGAACGGATGTATGTGCCCTGAGAGATGCAGTTGCGTTGCTCCGAGCATCTGACTTGCCGCTCGGGAGCATCATGTTCTTGGCAGGTTTTCTTCACATCCTGTACTGGCCGTGGCCGACAATGACTGCAGTCACCATGTTTTTGGAACCCGCTGTCACCAATGGAATTTGGCGCTGGTGCGCCTTGGATCGTGCCCGCGCCGCGGCTTGGAAACCGTCTTCATTCTTTCTATGAAAAGGTTTGTTGCAGTGGGGGACGCTCTCTGATGTTACGGACTCACAAGAAATGTCATACGGGTGCTTTTACAAACCCGACCATGAACCCTATGATGCGCAGGGGAAGTGAAAAAGGGTACATAGCAGAAACTCTGCCAAAGCGGCGCGCGGCTCCTGGAAGACAGCATGAAGAATGGTGGAGTGAAAGTCACATACCGATCTATTTTCGACATGACGTCGACTTTCGAGTGTCGTTTGTATGCAGCCACATCGACAGCATCTGCCTCGCATTACAACACCGTTCATTTTATTAGGGCGCTCATGTTTGCTTTGGAGTTGCATTCCGATCAGTCGGGGGCTGATTGGAAATTATTGAGCACCATGGGCACTGGAGTAAGGGAGGCAAACATTCCGGTCAACACGCACACAGTGGCGACATATTGCGCCCGCCGCATTGGCCTCTGGCTGTCTGAGCCTTATGGCATCGAAGACCTTTGTTTTTTTCCTTTGTATGTTAAAGGGCGATGATACTTGATCATGTCCAGCTCGGTTGACCAAAAGCCTTCTGACGGGTGGGACTGTCCGTGTCGGGAGACGCTTCTCCGAGTTGACGAGCTACGTTTCGCTGCCGTTTCATCTGCGCATCTACGTCTGCACACCCTCACCTCTGTACATTTACATCTTCACACGCTCACATCCGCAGATCTACCTCTCTACCTCCACACACCCACACATCTGCACATCTATATCACACCTGCACATCCACACTGTCACTCCTTCACATCCGCCCTCTCTTTCTCTCTTTCTACATATCTTTTCTCTTAATATGTTTAATATAATGGCTTCGCAACTTCTTACTCAATCAGAGATTGTATAAAGAAGTCATGGTTCTTGGACAACTCGATTTTAACTAGTTCCTTACTCGGAATTGCTTGACAATCACCTTTTTCGCTCTCGGGCCAACCGTCGTCTAGTTCTCCCCAGTGGTGTTCACAGACTAAATTTCGCGTTCACTTGCCCCACTTACGTCCAGTTACAAAGTCAATTCCGGATACTTCGCAGAAAGGGTAGGGGTTTTAGTTCGACCAAGGTTCATACTTCAAGCGGATATCCCTTTTCCCAAGTTATATACAGTAACTCAAAATACTCTCAACAAGTGAGCCTCCAAGACTCCATAAGAAACAATGAATTTCGACCATACTAGACGACCCTTTTGCAAAGTAATCTATGGTCTTCCCAAGTTGCTGGATTGTCAATTGGTGCATGGTGTTGAGCACCATGTGCGTCAAGCGCGCACGGACAGAGTGCAAAGTCACCGTAATTACTTGGGGGGTGGCATGGCTGGGTTGCTGGAGAACCTTCACTGATCCAATAAGTTTGTGATGGCTAATTTAGGCTCCGCTTGCCCTGGCCCTGCCTACCATGATTGCTTCTGGATTGACCTTCCCTTCAGCCCAGAGCTTGTCAGCTGACGCTGGAAGAAAGCCCGGATCCTCACCAGGGAAGAAACTTATATAAATAAGAAGGCATAGTGCACTGCGGTTTGCAAGGAGGCACCTTTGTCCCCATTTTGAGTCTGTAGAAGTGTAACTGCCCGAAACTCTTCTAGCATTTCAGCATAATGTGTGCATGTCCTCAAAGTAACCAGAGAAATACGGAGCCACAGCTGGGTCATTCCTCACGAAACAAAAACAGCAGGAGACGTTGCGTCGACCATTCCATCCGAAATGGCAAAGCCCACAATGGATATTATCAAGAAATCAAATCTTGCCAGGTTGCATTGTATACGCCGGCCATTGCACCTGTCCAACAAGTGTGTTCAAGTTGTTCAAACAAAAAGGTGAGATACTTCCCGGGCTGCTACCCAATCGAAAACGAATGCCCTCTTGATCGGTGGATACTGGTGGTACTTCATGAGGTAGGTGAGATTATGTGGTGCACCCTTTAGTTGCACATGTCCGAAGCTACAAATAGGTGCAGCAAGGTCAGCTCAACAATTTCAACCCAACAATCGTCCCAGAAAAGGAGGGGCAGCTTTGACAAAGTGCTTGCAAGATCCCCCCAATGTTCAGTCCTAGTGGTTCGCCGAGACTGTCAAAAAAAACACACGTGAAACCCAGTGAGAAAATGTGCCCAAATCTCATCTATAGAACTCACAAAACTGTGAAATGTGTCTGACAGCTCTGCAAGACAGTCTGACAGCTTTCCTCAGTCCGAACGGCTGACGGTGGTGACACCGGGAAGGTTGGGCCTTTTCAGCTGGCACTTCTCGCAGCTCCGCCAGGCTCGAGACGTTTGCTGCTGCCATGACCTCCTTGGCCACGTGGAGGCCATAGCTCACATTTCGAGGGCCCCAGCCTCAACTTGAAAGGAGCACTGAAGTTCACTAAAGTTGGTAGATCCTGTGCAGCCAGGGCTCCTCTGTTTGGAGGTCCACCAAAGCAAGGCCCTTGAAAAGGCTTCAAAGCTTCAATTGATTTTCAAACTATTCTGTTCGTGTGTTGCATCAGTTTCATATCACCCTCCAGAAATCCTCTGCCTGACTGCAAAATAGCCCGACGAAAAAGGCCCTTCGCTTCTGGGGCCACGGTCAATGTGCAGGTGGCGTAAGCTCCAGAGCTTTGGCCAAACACAGTGACACGATTGGGATCACCTTGGCACATGCGTAGATGACATGCTTTTGTGTAGGTGACTGTACAGGTGTGTGTATCTGTTAGCTCTTGGTGATGAAGCTCCGCCAATTGCTGATCTCGAATCCTACACCGATGTCATTATACACACTTGTATACATAGACAAGGCTTCCCACGATCACTATTTGCTTTGTAAATGTCCAGTACTGATCTTCTGAGCTTCCCACCCTTAAAGTAGGGAATGAACCTGCAGAAACAGGGACAAGGAAGGTCAACGGAAAGCTCAATCTATGCAAGCAAGGTACAGCTGCAAGTTTTGCAATTGTAAGAGTGGTCAAACATGATGTAAGGCAATCTCAGAGCCAGAAACTAGTAAGGCCCTCGCTTTTCCTTCGAGTTGCCTTGTAAACAGTGTAAAGGACTTCTTGATTTCGGGGTTGGTCACTTGCCCAAAAGCAGCAGAAAATGCAGCAAAACGGATGATTTTGCGAGCTGGCTCTCCATGAACCGTGAACCCTACTGCAGATCGCACTCTCGCCGCACTCTCGCACACTGCCCTCTCCTCTGAATCCATCTTAAGGCAGTGGCAATGTCGCGGATACCATTCCTAAGATCTCTAAGATGCCGCAGATAAACCTGGAAGTTGATGTCAACACTACCTGTCACTCCAAACAGCTCCAAGGGTCATCCCACCATTGCCAGGCCCGTCAAAGCTCTCTGAGACCAAGAAGCCAAGCGCCCCAAGGCGGTATGAGACTGTGACAACCTCGGAAAAGCGAGAAAAGCGAAACGAGGTGCGACCTCAAACACCGGCTGCGAAAGGACAAGTTTCTTTCGGCCGACCTCCTACTCAATTCAGTAAGGCGACGGGTTCGCTACTAGGCTAAGTAAGCTACTACCTACTGGACGCAGGATAGCTCACGCTCGCACTAATGATTTGGTTCCTGGCTTTTTATATAGGGAAACTTACAAATTAGGCCGAAAAGAACAACAAACTTGCTGAACTCAAACGTTTTACCACTAGAACTGGAAGACTCTAAGAATGATTTCAGGAAGTCAACAGCTCTGAAAACATGATCTCTGCCAGCAGTGCTATTCCAAGGAGCAATGACCCCGTGTTCGATGGCAAACTTGGAACCTTGGCTCCAAGTTCTTACCAATCTACAAAGCAAAGGTCCCGGGGCTTCACTGTAGATTTGCAGGACTGATTTCGGGGCTTCCAGGGGGGGTAGCTTTGCCTTGAGACATTCTGAAGAACGCCTACTATGCCTTGCCATTGCCTTGGCACACCAACCCACCGACCCAAAACACAACTCTGCGTCAAAGCAGCCGTTAAAGTAAGGGTTGCCTGCATATCCACTGCAGAGCCCACCACCGAAGTTGTAGACCATGACAGGGTGAGCTTCGGCTGTTTTGGAAGCGGGTCTCCAAATGTTCCTTTCCAACTACTTGCGAGACCAAGAAGGGAACCGGCAGAACCTTTACACAACCTACTGCGAAAAGCATCTCTGCTTGCTGAGGCTGGATCAAATGTAAGCAGTCTTCACTGGGTGGTGGTGAATGATCGGCATCTAATGGCATGGACCGTGGGTCGCCCAAAGGGTTGTTGATGCAAGGTGCTCCAGTCCTCCGGGCCTCAATTGCTTGCCCAAAATTCAAGCGAGATGGCAACTTCAATGACCAAATTGGGACTACGGATCCTGTGGAAGTTTGGAAACACATTTGTCAAACAAAGATGATTTGGCAATCCAAGATGCATCAAGATGGCCAGCTGGCCACGGAGTGTCATAAAGCTGTGCTACTGCAAACCGCCGATTCCCCAACGGTGGCTGGGCATAAGGAATGCCACCATAGCGTTCCTGGGCAGTTTGGTTTGCTTGGACTGTTTGGACCTGAAGCGTGTCATGTCCAATGAGTGACCACTCTAGCTTCTTGTGTAAAGAAGAGCTCTTTTAACATGATGCCTTCAAATTAGGGTTCTAGTGAAACTCAATGCCTTTAGCAGCTTTAGCATTCTTATCTTTAATATGCTGTACGACGCTGTGCGATGTCCAAGACCAAGCGGAGCCGAGCAAAAGGCCCTTCCATACATCCAGACAAAACGGCAACGATGCCTGTGCACCAGGCTTTCATGCCGCTCTCATGGCCGAAAACACTGGCCTTGGTATATTCCTGTGGGCCAGTCCATTGTCAGCTTTCTTTCCCTTCTTTGAGTTTTTCTTGGCTTCTGTCTACTATATAAGTACCTGTCACTTTCGCCGGCGGCATTTCATTCCCTTGTGCCTTCAAGATACTTTGCTAGTCTTCAAGGGAAATTTGCAAGCTTGGTGAGCCCAGCAAATCGCTGTGGGACTGGCCTTGTGGTGCGCCAGTTGGCTTCGGCTGAGTTCGCACGACCAACCCATGTGGGAACTGAGCATTGGCTCAGTGGTCCTCAACTGGTGCTTTGGCTTCCATGAAAACCGTGCTGCCTTGCACCAGCAGCCCATTTCCTGTTGCAAAGAGTGTACAGTGCGAACATTGCAGCTTGAGTGATCGCTTTGTTGTCCGGATCAAGATTCAGGGATAAGAAAACGCGAATGTCTCCCCATTTGCAGATGTTCACAACTTTGGGCCTTTTATATATCTGGTGTGATCCATCATTCAATGCACCACATTGCATCTTCAAACAACATTCAGCCCCTTTCCTGCATCTGTGCCAGGGCCTCTCTTGTGAAAATAAACACTTTTCGTCTGGGCATAAGCCGAGCTGCAACACCCTCAGCTGCAAAGATGCCCTCAGCTGTCCCCAGTGGAGTCTGGACGACAGGCAAAGCTCCAACCAGTGGCCTTAAAACTTCGCGCAGTTTGCGAATAGGTCGTATGTGGTAACAGCCGTATCGGTCTGGGGATCCGGACAAAAGGCCGGCAATACAAATGCTCCATATCCATGGCATGCTAAGCTTGCCCATGTCAATTCACTACAGATTCCTGTGCACCTTTGAATCAAGAACACTAAGGACTCAGGACCCACTTCCAAGCACTCTACCTCAAGAACTGAACAATGTCGACTGTGGTTCCTTTCGAGAGTTGTCAGCAACAGCTGCAGCCATTGATGAGCAGTCTCGGTAGTGGCTTCCAAATTATAAAAGAGCTATGACAGACCTAGGCGTTGCGACAAAATGTTCATCTGTGGCAAAAGAAATGCTAGGCACAAAGTCATCCGATAGGGAAAAAGCAACATGTAGCTGGCGCAGGTTTTCTCTCTGTCCATAGCTTTCTTGTTCATGGATTAATGTCCAAAACCTCATGCATGAGATCATGGCCGTTCATGGGCCGCCTTAGCACGTAGCAGTCAGGTGGGTCAATGTTGTGATAATAGTCCTTAATCTCCTGTGTCACCTTGAAGCCAAACTTCTTGTAGAACTGCAACGCAGTCTTGTTGGATGTTTGCACATGGAGATATATCTCCCGGACATCTTTGTCCTGACACTCCTTGCTCTGTGCCCTGTCCAATATCCACTGAACAAGTTGAGATGCCAGGCTCCGCTGTCTGTATGGCTTGAGGATTGATAGCGTCATGATGTATAGGGCTTTGCCACCACCAAGGACTTGATCTCTATCCTCAAGTCGGCAGCAAATCGACCCAACAAGCACGTCTGCATAGAAGCCAAGGCGACAAAAGTCGAAATACTTCACAAGGTCCAAGTAGAACTGGTCTTTGTACTTCACCGGGAAGGTGGCTGTGTTTAACTTCTTCAGCTGGCCCATGTTCTTCTCGGTGAGGTTGCCCAGGTCAAGCTTCAATGCCTTTCGAGACGTTTCTCCCTCCGCCATGGCTCCAGTCGCTTTGAGCCAAGGATCCACTGGTGGCGGTCGAAGGAGTTTTCGCAGAACATGTCATGTGACTCCACAAATGGCATGGGTTTCCACATGGTTTCTCGTTTGAACGTGCATAATATGCAGAATTGTGGAGAAAGCACCTCTCCCAGCAAGGACTGCAGCTTGTCATGACCGTGTCGGTCTCGTTGTGGTTCTTTCCGATTTTGTAGCCACACCAAATAGCCTCCGACCCGATTGACAACACTACAAAACCATACAAAACATTTTCGCTATTAGGTTGGAGGCCATCGCTATTGGGTTGGAGACCATCGCTACTAGGTTGGATGACATTCCTATTAGGTTGGAGGCCATCTTTTGTGTTTAAAGCGACTGTGGTCAGCCTCTTACAGGAGCTGCATGCAATGCATTGAGTTTTACATTCAATTTCCAACGACTTATACAAGCGTTTTGTTTCACCAAGTTTCAATGCAATGCAATGATGGCATGTTTTTAGTTTTGAATCGTTTTGAAATCAAGTTTCTGACCCACACTGAGAGTCACAGCATTAATGATGGGAAAAAGCCTTTCACCTGGGCATGATAACATTATGTACTCCTGTTCCATGGCTAGCGCATGCTCGCGCCTTCCATCGCTCGTGCATGCACATTGGCCATGGCCAGTTTGTGGCATTGAGCTTCGGCAAAGCCAAGGGCCTGACGCGACGGGTCTAGTGGACTCTGCGGCCAATTCCTGATTCGTGAGAAGTTCGACCTGCAAGGTGAGCGCTTCACACTGGACCTGCGAAGAAAAAGCAATGTGAGACGATCAGATGCAGTGCAAATTTACAAGTACAAAGTAGTATTCAAGAAAATATTTGAGGTAGAAGGCCATGCTTGTCAGATGTTTTGCGGTCTGTTGTCCAGTTCAAAAGGCGTCTCTTGGCACCTGATGCCACAAACGTCTGAACTGCGCAGAGTGATGTGCCTGGAGATGGAACGAGGCCTGCACGAATCGATGCACATGTGTAGCCTACCAAGCCACGTGTGTCAATGGGTTTGCCGGCCATTTGTCATTCCATTTGTCTTTCATTTCATTCAATCTCAATCCATCAGGGTCTGTCTTCAGGAGAACACCTGTCATGTGTGTCAGGTGATATTAACTCCTCAGGAAAAACTCTGATTCACAAAAGTGAAACTGATTGGTTTTGCAAAGGAGAATATAATTTCCCTCGCAGGAGCGACACCTGCCGGTCGCTGAGGGCATCAAACACTTTTTTAGGTGGTGCTGCTCCTTTCAGAGCTCTGAGAAGAGCAGGACGATGTTCGCAGAGATACAGTTTGCAAAGGAGATGCGTGATAAGAAGTAGACGTAAGCAGCGTTGTACCTGCGCTGTGATCTTCCTTGGGTGCTTCCCAATTCTCGGGTCTCCAGTCTTCTGCTTGTAACGCTTCGCAATCGCGAACCACCCGCAAAATATCCCGGGACCGTATCAAGTCTATTGGACGATGGCCACGAGAATTTTTTCACGTGCAGATCGCCTTTGGCATTGAGCAGGAATTCAACAAGCTCTGTGGCGCTGAACAAGCATGCAAACCCAAGGACAGTCGTAGTCTGCTCAGCCATGCCCACCATCAATATTGAGCTAGGTCTTCCAAACTGCAAATATGCCCTGCTGAAGAGTTCAGCAGCGCGGAAGATCCCACCAGCTGTGGACTGCGCGTTTATGTCAGCTTCTGCTTCCACAAGCAGTTTTGCTATCGACAAGGCCTCAAATGGCCAAAGAAAGATGAGGAAAGAAATGCTTAAAACTTGAACCTTAATACCAGTTACTAGATCTACTGTACACAGGCATAGGTCCCAAATCGAGTTTTGCTTGGACGTCGTTTTTGAAACCTACTGCTAGCAACCAACTTTACGGAGTCTGGCATCGGAGACAAGCTGGGCGAACAAACATGCTGGGAGACAAGTTTTGAGACATGGAAGACAAGCCCAAGTTTGAAGCAGGCGGTCGGTTTCCACCAGAGACTCCTGGTCTTAGCCTGGTCTAAGCCGGGCGGCGCCGACACCGCACGTTGGAACCCTCACCTTCCCGGCTTTTGCGCGCAGAACTACATGGGCTAAGGCTGCGGCAAAGCCGTACTCCGTGTGTTCTTCTGCTCGTAATCCGTGTGATCCCGTGTGACCCCCCCTGCATCCTGTCGTCTGTCCACCCAAACTCGGCTTCTTCCCGTTGAGTCTCAGACTTACCCAGCCACGCCACTCCATCGCCCGAATTCTTCTAGATCTAATCTATCCTTATGAAACTTGGTGGTCGCGTGGGTCGTGTCTTCACGGACGGCTTGTTTATGCTTGATGATTGGCTACTATCACGTCCAGGGTTTTGCTGGGCCAAAGGCCGGACGTGGAGTGTTTGATAATCAAACCTTGCATTGTATGGCACAACCACTGACCTACATACAACGAAGGAAAGGTCGTTTTTGAGGAGGGCCTCGTTCATAGCCCAGAAAATAGAGGTCAGCGGCACACGGGCGTTAGAACGTTCTATATTGATTTACAAAACGAGGTGTACACTGTACGCCTCCACGACCAAACAAGGCATCACTTTTACACAAGCTGACTATTTCACTGGAGTGTGGAGGGAGATTGTGGCTGCTTGGCAGGGGTGGCTCTTCCCCTCCCCTCTTCTCTGTTGCCTTGTTTGGCGGCGCATGACATGTTCCAGCTGAAACCCATAACTACAAAAAAAAGAAAACATATTTGTTCAACAGCTGTAAAACTCTTGAGCAGCTTCCGGGAAGCATGTGGATTCGAAGTCGCATTCATCGCAACAAAGCACAGCGCATGAGGGAAGCTAAGACCACGAGCACGCAATGGACCATTTGGACTGGCACGAGACTCCAAGAGCTTGGCAATGACCTCTGGCTTGGTGGGCTCTCCACTTGCCAAAGCAAGAGGGGAAACATGGAGCGGTGCATACTGTCCATTCAAATCTGCCCTAAAATTGAGCAGAATCTGGACATCCCTGGCAGTCCGACAACATGCCAAAGGAGGAACTCCTGATGCACTAAGATTGGGATCACTGCGGGCTTCCAGGAGGAGTTCTAGCACCTTGGGAGAACGCCACCCTTGCAGAGCTGTCAAGTGTAAAGGTGTCAAGCCTCGGACAACCCCGATTTCTGGCATTCCTTTCACAGGCTTGTCCACAGGACAACAGGCCTCCAGAAGCGATTTTAGCAACTCAGCATCCCCTGCAAGAGCAGCACAAACAACAGGGCCAAGGCTTGATGCTTTGCTCTTCTTCAGGGACTCGTAGCCAAAGTCTTCGAGAAATTGCTCAATTGTTCTTCGCACAGGACGTATTCCGCACATCACCTCCCGCCGTGCCAGAAAATAGCGATAGAGGTCCATATGCCCTTCACCTTCAAGCCAGCGTAGTTGATGGGACAATGCTTGCTCGAAAATACTTTTTACCACTGGTTTGTCGCCAGGGTATGAAAATTCTCCTTCGTGGGGCAAGCAGTCCACCCAGTTCACGGGTCTTGCAAAATGAGCGACATCAGAGGCTGTCACGATGACATTCGGCATGTCCTTCAGTTGTCAAAGCCTTAAACTTGAAAATGAAACTTGTTAACCAGCCTGAAGAAGAAACACAGAGGACACATCAGGTGTCTAACACACGAAATACAAAGCATCCTATTGATGGTTCAAAGCATTGTCCTGGTTGCCCAACATCATGTTGCAAAACAGCTCAGTTCTGCACCATCCTCTTGTGATCCAGCTGGCATGATTACACATTTCTCCGGTGTCATGGTGTCGTAGCGGTGGCACCAAGGCCACAAACACTTGGCTCGCCTGAACGAAAGAGGGTAGAGACAAGATGAATTCTTCCTGCTCTGAAAGTCGTCTCGGTCTTGCTGGGCTCCGGTAGACAAATGTGCGAGTCGCACGTTGACGCTTTTCGAGACTGACTTCATCATCCTCGTCTTCGTCACGGAAGGTTTCTACTTGAGGAATGCTGGCCCAGTCGATCCAAAGAACGGCATCCCGAATCTTCGCCCGCTGTGAGTTTGAGAGAGTCTTCACCTCTCCAAAAAACTGCGAAGCTGCATCGTTTGTCACTGTGATTCTGCCTTCGCAAATCTCCACGAGAGAACGCTGTAAAACTCTCAGCTGATCCCCTTCGGGATCTGGGTGCATTGTGGAAAGCCATTGATGGGAGACAAAAATGCAATAGTGAGACACGACTCGCCGATGCAACAAGCCCATTTCTGCCAACTCTTCATGCTTTGGCAATGGCAGCTGCATTTTGACAAAGTCTGAAACCTTCAACACCCACATGGCAATGAAGGGTTCAATCTCCTGATATACTACATTGGATTGGCAGCCTCCCATCCTCTGGGTAGCCCCTGACTACTGCTAACGTAACTAAAAGTGAAACAGTTTCTACAGCTGCATCTTGAGTCCACAAACTTGTCAAGCGGTCTCAAACATTCCCTCATGGAACCAGCGCGAAGAGTGCTGCCAGCAACACCACCATGAAAGAAACAACACTTTCAGTGAATTGGGTCAGGCTTTTCTTGCCCACCTGACTCATATTGGGTTCACCCGCCTGCTCTTGCCCCATGTTGCGCTTCCGAGAGCCAACCACCTTTGGGAGGGAGGGAGGGAGGGAGGGAGAGAGAGAGAGAGAGCGGTATATATATATACATATATATTATATAGATATATATTATATAGATGTAGAGCACCCGCAATCTGCACTTGGGCACGCAACAAAACAATGGCTTAATGCTGCATCTGGTGTGCATACATCCACCCACCTCTTAACGTGCTTGCATGTCTTGTTTGGATATATGTTTGCTTTGCATGTCTTGTCTTGATTTGTTTCTTTGCCTTGCAATCATGGGTTTGTCCAAGCAGACCACGTGTGGGTAGGTGGGTCCTGAGTTCTCTGCTCTTCGCGACTTTTTTTGGAGCTCTCCATGCGACAGGTATGGGAGGAGATGGCCAGCAATCGATGTTTTCGTTGCAATGCATTCACCGCGTGCTATCTTCGATCTCTTTCACTGTTGTCATCTTTAAATATCGGCCCAGAAATGCATTACTTTGCTCTCAACACACCGTGATAGAGCAGCATCTGTAGTTGACAGCCGCAAGGCGTCGTAAAGCATAAAAATGTGCTGTCAACAAATCAAGACACACGACTTGTAAGGACATGAGTGGGGGATTTGAAGTTAAGTGCACCAAACACATCAGTCATTATAGCAACACTTGATGCAGCAAACATATTGCAAACTGCAATCCACCAAGCAGCGAACTTGACCAGCATCAACATCCCCTCGGAACACAATGAAATGCTCTTGTGGCTGCGTTAGAAACCTGCACCGGTGGCAAATTACCATCTACGAGCCACGTCAACCGATATATAATGAGTGGAAGAATCGATGTTCCACGCGATTTCAGTGCATCACCACATCTCTTGTCGCCATTGCATTCATCGCTATATAGCTTCAGCTAGGGGCTGCCATTTTCGTTTGGGAACGAAAATGCATATCCTGCATCGTGAGGTGTGTCTGGGAGACGAGTGGGAATGGGAGAAAACATTGAAAAACACATGGTTTTCACATATCATCTGCGAATTCGGCATTCGTCGTCATTCCACCGATCCAATTTCTAGTTCAAGACCCCCCTCGGCGTGTGATCGAAACATGCGCTGATCCGCTTTTCATGGCAGCAGGAGCCTGATCGTTTAGCTTGCCGCTAGGTGGAAGAGTCATTGGACCCTTGAGACGGAAGATCACGGGAGCGAACCATCGCCCGTACGAGCGATGGAGTTCCATACGATGGATCGCTGGAAACGGTGGCTGCGTATCGTGAAGAGGCCATTCAGTACCTAGTGACCTTCGAATACAAGAAGGGCTACATCGCAGGGCAGCGGCTTTTGAAAGAGCTTGAAGGACATTCGAAACTAGCAGTGAGAGCCATGACCTTGAAGAACCCGTAATGGCTGAGCCAGCCGAGGGGGGGGTCTATCTCCTTTTGGATTTCCTCAAGAGCGTGGTGGCGAGACCCTCTACCTGAGGCTTCTCGCTTTGTGACCCGTTTCCTTTATGGGTTACAGAGGAAGAAGGGGGAAGGCATGACTAGTTGGTGCACTCGCCACTCCGAGTGCCTGTGGGAGGCTAGTCAGGCCCTGAGGAAAGTGCAAGCGGGACTGTGACAAAACCACACCAATTTGGAAGCCTTCATGGGAAACCAGTGACACTGACCGAGGCAGCCAAAGGGGTTCAGAGCAAGGTCCTTTTCATCGACCGGATGAGGACGAAGATGGAGCAGATGATGGTTGGTGGGGAAACCAATGGACGACTTGGTCGGAATGGTCGACAGGTTCATGGCACTCCAAAGAATATGACCCGCCAGAGTCTTGGGATGTGTCCACTTTCTACTCCTTCATCGCAGCGGCTTGGATGCTAATGAGAGAGCAAACATTTTGGCCGCCATCTGTGGGGAGTTCAGCAGCAAGACGGTGGGTCGGGCCTTTTCGAGAACAGTGATCCGATGACGACCTCATCAAAAGAGATCGACTCAAGACTTCAAGTGCTCTCATGGCCGAGGAGGACGATGAGGACTTGTCAGCTCTCATGGCCGACGACGCTTCGGGAGTGAAGCATCTGGATGCTCAGAGCCGTGAGGCCTATTTCAACGAAGAGGACAAGGTCCAAGAAGCTCTAGCGGCAATTCGCACGTAGAAGACCACACGTCGTGAAGCTCGCTGGAAACAGAAGCGGCTAAAGCTTGGCCGGGGATACTTTCCGCCCAAGCCCTTCCAGAAGAACTGTGGAGCCCCACATCGAATTGCCACCACAGCAAGCTCGAGTGGCTCAGGAGAAGGCAGCCGAGATTGCGTTCCTGGCGGGAGTGAATGAGTTTGAAGAAGCAAGCCTTTTTTGGACAAGAACAGCCAGCCTTGACCTTGGAAAGTGTGGTTGATTCGTGCATGGGGCTAGTGGATTCAGGGGCCACCGCATCTCTGGGTTGGACTGATGCTCTGGAGAAAGTGCGAGTGGCAAATCTTCAGAACCATGGGGAGACGATGTCAGCAGGAAGCCAGTGTTCAGATTTGGCAATGGAGCCAAGTCAGAATGCCTGTCCACAGTGACCACGGGACTTGGTGCAGGAGATCGTCGTTGACGCCTTGAAGTACACGTTCATGAAAATCCGGGACAACCGGTGCTGATCTCAAAGAAAGCTCTCAAGGCTTTGGGGGCGGTGCTGGACTTTGAGACCGGTGAGGTCATCTACACGAAGGTGGATCGAACCAAAGTCGTGCAGCTTCAAGAAGCACCAAATGGTCACCTGCTGATGCCGTTGACAGGCAATTTACTTGATGGAGCCAAGACGCGTTCCATCCCTTTTAACTCACTGTTTGAGTAGGGAGATGACTCCTTTGACGCTATGGACGGAAAAGATTCCGGTCCGGTCCGGTCAAAGGAGTGGTAGCGGGTAGCGAGGGGAAGATTGTAGAGCTGTGCGATCATAGCTCATCATCGAACAATCAGTTAATTCAGTGTTCTTCACTTTGTCAAGTTTGTGATCTTTTGTCAGTAGCCAACGGTAGATGCAATTTGTGTGAACATTTGGAGGACAGTCATGGTGAGACACACACAGCGCCTTTTGCACATTCGAGCATTTCTCGCCGTCTACCTGTGTCAGATTCCAATCACCATGCTGTTGCCAACAACCAAAGCTCAGTGTGTTGCCAAGCTTCAGGAGGAAGGGGTGAATGTTCCTTCCGAGTGGACACTTCTTCAGATCAAAGCGCACTATGCAGAGATCATCGAGACTCAGAAGCAACAGGGCAATTCCAAAATGCTGGAGGAGTTGGTGGACCTACGTCGCAGTGCCAAGAAGAAAGCCGACCTGCAGAGCCAAGCTATGTGGATTGGTGCCGGGACACGCTCCACGATGCAGAAGATCCTTACTGGAAGAGGGAGAGGTTGGTGGCTTACGCCGATCAAAGGCACACAAAGGGATCTTTACCTACATCAAGACGATGAAGGAGCCACCACAAGACACCAAGGGCTACAAGAGCAAGACTTCATCGGGCCCCAGTGGACACAGCTGGGACAGCGACCTTTCAGATCGCGACCATTGGGAGAAAGACGAGCAAGACAAGGCAGAGATCGAGAATCGCATGGGCATTCCGGGAGGCAAGAACACAAAGCCCAAGGAGAGCAAGACCGAAGTCGAGATCGCGAACGAACTCTTGAAGGCACAACTCAAGGAGATGCAGGCCACCAATGCAGAGTTGGAGCTTCAAGTGAGTCGTGTGAAGGGCCGGAAGGAGATGTAGATCATGCGGAATTGCTTCCGGAGAGGTTGTCCCGCACGTTGCACAACGAATGGGGCATTCGAAAGAACCTATACAGCAAAACCTGGAAAGGTCTGGTTCATCATGGGAGACCCCTTCTCATGGAAGTTGCCTGTTACCCTGATAGCGTTTTGGGAACCGAGGTTGAAAGACGTTTTGGTTCAGGCAGTTGTCTTCGACTCTCAGAGTGGAATGGTGGCAACCTCGAAACACCGGAAGGCATTGATCTCATTCTGAAGATCAAGAGATCTCGCCCTATCAAGCTTTGAAAAGGTGTCGACAGCTGGCTGCACAGAGGGTTTGAAGACCAAAGACCAGACCAAGTTGTTGTGCAAGGCGTGGACAGTTGCTACAAATATGAATTTGCATTGTCAGCAAAACCATGCAAAAGGTCGTTGCGAAGCCAGGGAAACCTCACATACAGCACAGTACACAACAGCATTCGCTCGTCGAGTTGTGGATTGTTTTTGTGAATCAGAAGGTTGGGGGGCACATACGTCGTTCAAGAGTTGAGACGAACTGTCCCTGAGGATGCATATCCTGTAGTTCCAGGTGATAATGCACTATCAGAGTCAGGTGAACCGCTGGAGATATCACCTGAAGAGCGACATGAGATCGAGCAGAAGATTCAACACATTCACAAAAACAGTGAACATGACAATATGAAGAACCTTATCCAGTCGCTTCGCCTTAGAGGAGTTGCAGAGAAGGTTTTACAGGTAGCAAAACAGTGAAAATGTCCAAGCTGTGCCGAAAAGAAGTTTCGGGATCCAAGATAGTTTGCAACATTGGAGACAGTAGCCGCCAAGTGGGAAGTTTGTCGTCTTCTCCCACCAAGACAGCATCCTGGGAGGATTTCAAAAGATCTTTAGAGGAGCAGTGGTGGCCAATTTTTGGGAAACCCAAGACAGTTCGTGTTGACCCAGCAGATCCCAGCAGCATGGCTGAGTGGACAGCCTGATGATTATATCAACAATCGAGACATTTTGTTGGATCACATTCCTGGTGATGTACATTGGCAGCTGAGTATTGTAGAGGGAACAATCCGAACATTGAAACGCGTGTTGTCCACACTAGCAGGGAATTGTTAGCACGTGCAACTTGGGTACTGAACACCAGAGAATGTTACAAGGGCTACAGTCCAATGCAGCATGCACTTGGCAAATCACCAAATGAGTGCGACAGAATGTTCGAGGCTCGTGAGTCCGTGTCAATTCGTCCAGAACTGTTGCAAGATGGAGGCTTTCAAGAAGATACCAAGATCCGTCTTTGTGCAGAGAAGGCATTCCTCGATGAGCAAGCCAAGAGAAGATTGGAGCAAGCTGAACGCATGGGAAAAAGGCGAGACCAGCTGTTTCTACCGGGAGACCTGGTCTTCAGGAGCTTTCTAGACGGGTAAATGTCTTGGCCCAGCAAGAGCTTTAGCAACAGACACGGCGTGAGGACGGTGAGCTAAGAAAAGGAAGTATTGTCTGGTTGTACAGAGGAAGATTGTTGAAGGCAGCGCCAGAACAACTCCGCAAGGTAACATAAAATGATATCATTGAGAAAATGTCTGGACTTGGACTGCCAGCCACATTGAGAAAGATGACCGTCGTCGAGTTTTGACAGACATTACAGGTGAGGCACCCACCGAAAATCACCACAGCGATAGTGAGCATGAGAGAAAGGAGTTAGATGTTGAGGAGGAACCAACACCTAACAAGGAGTGGATAACAACTACCAGAGCAACAACCAAACGTCCAGGTGATGTGGATCCAAAGCAGGCTCTTTCCAAACAAGTTCGAAAAGAACCACCCAAAGGAGAGAAGAGACTACATGGCAAATCAATTGAAGCAGATACAAATGGATGTTAATGAACGTCGGCTGACGTCAGAGGAAGCAATGAGATTCTGCAAAGAAAAAACAAAGAAGTGAAAAATTTTATAGCAGCACAGTGTTTTCAGAAAGCACAAGAAAAGTTTCCTGATGAGAAGGAGATCATTGGGATGCGCTGGTTGCTGACTTGGCAACATGATCGTTCACAAGCTGATGGAAAGAAGGCCAAAGCCCGAGCAATAGTTTCGGGGTTTCAAGACACATCGGCCCCAACACCATCGAAAGCTGGCAGTCAATTATTTTTCCAGTTGTGTGCTTGGAAGAAGTTGCGCATTTCAAAGGGAGATGTGAGTGGTGCTTTTCTTCAGGGAGAAACTCTCAATGATCCTCTGTGGTGCAGACCACCAGAGATGTGCCAGAGAGTTAGGCGTGGAAGAAGAAACAACACGTGTTCAGAACAGAGACCCGCCCTCCAACCCTAAAACGCGCAGGACGGTTTTCCTTCCTAGGTTTGCTGCTGAAGTCAACCTAAAACCAATCCCCAAGTAGCTTCTTCCCCATGTGCGGAACAAAACATGGGTAGAGGAGATTGGTAAACCATCCCACTGCCAATAATCTCCTAGGAGCTAGAAGAACTACTGGCGGAGTCGGAGTTGTGTTTTGGGTGGCATTTTGGGCACTTCTTAAATTCATTATCCTCAGGCTGCTCAGGAGGTCGAGTGGTCTTCGCCCACAACCTTGATGAAAAGGGCAGCCCGCACAACGTCTTCCATTGTGCTGGAGGAAAGTTCAAACACACTCTGGCTATGTGTCTCACCTCAGAGGTCATATTGTCAACTACCCAGGTTTCAAATGACTCCTGGGTGTTCATGAGGATTGAGACACCTTCCATTTTGTCGTTGATATCCTCGATGCCATGCTCTGTTTTCGTCATTCTTTTCAAAAGCTCTCCTCTCTCCTTGCGATGCTTGTCAAGGTCAGAAACAATCGAGGCAAGGCGCGCCTTCACGTCCAAGCTCGTCGCTCTAGTTTCAGCCTGGTCATCGCTCCATCATGTGAAAGCCTCATTGACTGCAATCCTTCTCTTTTCAACCTGTCTGCAAAGCCATCCAAGGGGCTCTCAGCAATATACGACAATACTGCATCTGAGCCCCAACGTCCAATCAGCTGGATCGTAATTGGATCTAGTCCTTGTTTGGCTAGCGTCCTTACGAGTGACCACTCACACACCACGTGCCATCTTTGGCAGTTGCTGACATGCCCGCCTTCTCGATGGCACTCCTCAAAGACGACGTGACACCGTTCTTCGTGCAGTATCCGCCTCTGACATCTGGAAACAGTGGCAGGCCAGGATCAACCTCGATCTTCAACCTCCCGTAGAAGGACTCCAGCCTGACCAAGTGGTCCTCAAGGATGTGAAATGGGCACGGTAAAGGGGTGTCACACACGCAAGACCATGTCCTAGTGCAGCCTTTTGCCTTCCAGTCCACTTTGGATATGGGCAAATTCAATGAAACAGCATTGTCCGACATGGCGCCGTCTGCGATGTCTATTGCTGATGCCTCAACTTCCCTCAGCAAGTACATGGTGGAACACGAGATCAATGCTCTGATGTGTACAGGGCCTTCCGGGTGAAAAGGTCCATCATCACAAGATAAGCAACCTACCACTCTGCACAAGTCGAACGGCTCCGAGCGAGTCGCCCCCGCCAATCCACGCAAGACCGACCGTGAGCACTTGCGCGCTATGAGATCCAGCCTGTCAGTCCACGGGTATCCCAGCATCAAGTGATGCTCTTTTGCTCTTGACAAGTAGTTCTTGAATGATTTGTATCCTCCAGCTTTAAACAATGCCGAAATGTGCTCGTCAAGAGGCGAGGGGCGCGAATCATTTCCATACCACAGGGCGTGGTGTTGCGTCCATGTGTTCAACTCTGAGTCACGCGGCCCTCGGCTTGAGCACGCGTACATGTCAACAATGAGGTCGTTGACCAGTTCCTGTCTGGCCTGCGCGCCCCTGGTCATGAGGTTCTGAACTGGTTCCATGGCAGCTTTGTCAACCCTCCTAACTACAGTCATGTCGTGTCGTTTTCTTTTACCTGATGTAGGGGTCACATCAGCTTGCCGACCTGAGTCCCCAAGGTGACTACATGCAGCTCCGAGAGGTGGCAAAATCCTACCCTCGGAACGAGAACTAGATGAATTAGAAGGACCTTGGGGATTACACGAAACACTCAGGTCTTTCTTGCGAAGGGTGGACAGCCACCCTTCAATGTCATCCGAAGGCAATTCGAATCCCGCACGCCTCCGGATCCCCCCCCACATGGTATCGGGTCCCGCGCCTGTTTGGCATAATGGCTTGCGGAACATAGGTGTCGATGAACAACCTGCAGTGGACAACTTGCACAAGGAACAAAGCCACAGCAAACGTCAAGCGCAAAGAAACTCGAGAAATGCACTCAACCCACAAAGCCCTCAACCTACCACAGGAAGGCTCGAAACCAGATGATAAAACAGCTGTATCTGATACACCTGGTTTTGGCACGTCAAGTTGCCGGTTATGCTGGGCAATCTGGGCAGCATCGTCAGCATTTTCGGGGGGCATTGATAGGACACCCCAAACTTCGCAAGCACGGCTGTTTAGACACCGTAAAGAACACGACACCGCAAAGAACAGAAGCTCTGAAGCGCCAGCCCCTGTTTCACACACTCGGACAGGTCACGGCCCGTATTGGGCTATGCCTGAGGCGGTCCTGTATGGTCTCGGTCTCCTAATGTCATGCGCTTGGTTCCCTGGGTATCAGTTTTCCTACCCAGGAGATCGGCGTGCAGATCTTGATCGGATCCTCTCCCCATCTCCTGCTTTTGGTCTTGCCGGAGTGGATCGAACCCATCGTGGTGGCAAGCTCTTCCACCACGCAGCTTCTCGCTTCGGTGGCATGACAGCCTTTGCACCTGTCAGTATGGCTGGCAGCTTGAACTTGCACGATGGGTCATTGATTCGCGAGAGAGAATCGCACGCCTGATTTGTAACACCTGGAATGTGTTGTATCAAAAGTGGCCTGCGTGTGGCCTTGCCCAAATCCAATGCAAACTCACGAGCTATCAATGCCAGAGCTGACGAACTGGCCTTCAACGTGGCAAACAATGTAAGGACGCCCGTAT